AGCGATTGAGAGAGAGAGAGAGAGATGCAGCAGAGCAGAGCATGTGCAGAGCAGGGGACGCGAGGAACAGGATTAGAACCGCTGCTTTAGAACATTGATTTTGAAACTTGTGAATCCATTAGAATCGTTAGAAGACAGAATCGCGATTCATATATGAATAGATTTTTACATGCACCTCTAGTTTTCTGTTCCTCTTCTCTAAAGCAGCGCAGCATGGCCTCGCCCCCTTTGCTGCCTTTTCCCGAGGGCGGGGTTTATCTGGGTTTGTTACGTCACGAACCCGGGAAGTAACTCGTTTTAGTCCCTACCAGCCATTCTTGTAGGCATTAAACTGCCAGAATTTTAAAAGACGATATCTCCGTTTGCATTGAACTTTTAGCTTCGTAACTTTGCAGATATTGTTTATGCTCAAACAGCAACATTACACACTAACTAACGTTAAAAAAGTGAAATCGCAATCAACCACCCCTTTAATGTAAATGAATCATTCTCTCTGCCGATTGGTTCAAAACGAAGATTTATTGTGTTGCTCGCAGCGGCGCAACTCTTCTGCTGGAGATTTGTTTCGAAGGCAGTGGTTAACACAAAGCCTACATCTTTTTCTCAAGTTATATAAACATAAATAAACAGCACATAATACAGCATATCCCTTTGAACACACTTCCTTTTTTAAAACAATTTCGACATATGCAGTGTGTCAAAGTTCTAGATTTAGTCCCTGCCATGTGAACGAATGCTAGTTTTTGGTGTCAAAGCTGTTTGTATATTGCATAACTGGAATTCTGTTTTGGCCAATCAGGACTGGTTCTATTCATTTTAAATTAACCGCAATCATGTAGAAATATCCTTTGACAGCCCCTTTCATGGATGCAGGCCCTTGCCTCTTCGCTCTGAGAATCAGTAGCAGTGAAGGAAGTGCAGAGGTGTGCTGCCAGTGATGCCTGTCCGGGCCTGTTTGTGACTGTGAGTGAAGGAATGTGTTTTTCTTTCAATTATATTGTGGGAGCTGTTGAGCTCTGTCTGACAGAAGCCCTGATATGAAGCTCCGCCCTCAGAAATAGGTGATGGGCTCTGATTGGTTAGCTAGCCCAGTGTGTTGTGATTGGCTAAACCGCCTCTCGTGCGCATCTAATCGTCCCGCCCCTCACCTCAGCGGCATGTGCCCCGGTTATATTGTAAACAACGGCGTCGTTAATATCAGCTGTTTCTCACTAAGCCCGATAACAAGGCCCTGTTGGGCCGGGACTGAAGCCACGGCACTGATGAACAAAAGACAGGAGCTTTAGTCAGGGGGCTGCAAACTGCTGACTCTCAGCGCCAGCTAATGCAGCATTCTGTCCTGTATCCCCGTTGTCAGCCTCTGTCCATCCACCTCTTTTTTTCTCCACTGCATTCTCGTTCACTTTTGACACCAACATGCCCCCCAACAAAGAAACCCAAATTTGCACCCTCTGTATCTACTTCCGACTGACCGACTCCCTCCCGTATCGGTTTGCTCTCTCTTCCCGACTCAGTGACCGTCTCCCCTTCGTGCTCGCTGGAAGTGATCTGCTCACAGCACCCGGCCCGAGGTCTGACCCGTATCAGTGGTGCGTGGGATGCGTGTTCGGTGTGCGTGAGCGTGTATCTTGTCTTCTGTCATGTGTGAGTGTCTGCGAGGGATCTTCCGTGTCACCTGGACACCCTCTTCAGATGCAGGTGGGTGTGCTGACATAACACCCCTCGTGAAAAAGAAGTGTGCTTAACTGTATTGAATGTGCACTTGTAGTGTGTTACAAATCTTAATGTATTTTTAAAACTGCACTTGCAGATAATATAATATCTGCAAGTGCAAATAAAAGACCGTTTAAGAGCACTTAAAGAAAGACACTTTCATGTCAATGTTTCTTAACACATTTAAGTACACTTACTATTAAGTACATTTTAAATCATTATATTTTAATAATCTTTTGCTGTGCTTTAAGTATACACTTATTTCGATGTGTTGACTAATATACTGAAGCACATGTAAAGTACTTGATTATAACTGAACTATAGTGTGTTATTTGATATTACACTAAAAGTTAATATATTTTAAATGTACTAGTATAAGTCACTATCATTACAAATGTTTAATTACATATATTTTTAAATACATGACACAAATTTCAATAGAAATAATATCAAAGTATATTTTAGTTTACTATGAACGCTTGTCGGTACATTTGGCAGTACGCTTTAACCATATTTCAAAGACACTAGAACTAATCATGAAATTACATATAAAGTTGTACTTAAGTCATACTTAAATAAAGATTCAAAAAGCACTCCTGTGTTCAACTAATTGCAGTTAATCTAAATTTAAACTAAAATGCACTTGTATAATTGTAAATATTCATTCAATTAAGTGTCAAAAACATTGCATTCAGTTCATAATTAAGCATTTTCTTTTTAAAGTATATTACTGTTTTTAAAAGCATGCAAAATTGTACTTTTTTTCACAAGGGACTGCATGTCATATATTCGCCATGATAACGGTCCATTCAGTTACTATATAAAGGATCAGAAGTACGGTGTTATTTTGTTGCTGTTTAACCTGCCTTACATTACTTTTGTCAAGCACTATTAGTCGTTTTAAGGCGCTTGTAAATGAAGATGAGATTTAGAGTAGATACAGGTGTCATTAGTGTATAACAGGCTCTTTATCAGCATAATGTCTAACTGGTTACTTAGAGAACTGCAGTTAGAAGTGTGTGCTGTAGTACATTGTCCTTTACATTACATTTACATTGTCCAAACTTATTTTATAGACTGGAAGTTGAAAACTGCGGTTACCTAAGTTTCATGTCTCTTATAAGCTCACTTTAGTGGATCCAGTGTTATATACTGTTGGATTCGGATCAGAAGTTGCTTTGGTGGCATTTTCAGACTTAAATCAAACCAGTTCCTCTTTTTGCCTCATTATAACACATTTTCATTTAACATGCAAGTAAGTGTCTGGAAACATTACATTCAGTTCACAGTTAAGTACATTATAAGTGCTCTTTTTAAAAGTGTGCTAAAGTGCATTTCTTTTACAAGAGTGGTCAAGCTCAAACACCTTAACGTCACTAATTTTAACCAATGTGTAACCACAATGACAAGAAAATCAACAGAAAATAAAGAGCTAAAGCTAGCTAATTAGTTAAAGGCACAATAAATAAGATTTTTTTTATTAAAGGGGTCATATGATGCGATTTCAATTTTTCCTTTCTCTTTGGAGTGTTACAAGCTCTTGGTGCATAAAGAAGATCTGTAAAGTTGCAAAGACTAAAGTCTCAAATCCAAAGAGATATTCTTTATAAAAGTTCAG